TTCCTGCTGCCTAAAATGATCTTCCTTTCTTTACTGCCTGGCATATGTCTGCTTAGCCTTCAAGGCCCAGATTAAATATTACCTCTTCTGAGAGACTTTTACTCAAGAAAATTACTCAGTAAACAATTATCAAGCCACTTTGTGTGATTATTCCAGGAAAGAAGAACTAATCTTGGTCTTCCTCTGTACTCCTGGAGTGCATTAAATAGACCTCTATCATACCATTCGCTTGTCACCCTAAACCGACAGTGTCACAGCTTAGGAGACTTTTCTGTGAACTAAAGTGCAACATTTGGGCAAAGCCTGTTGGATTCATCTTTGTTTCCTATCCTTAGCACTCTGCTGGAGTCTGGCACACAGCAGATGTTCAGGGTTTGATGAACAAGCAGATTGTTGGGTTTTATTTCATGATTATGATTAGGCTAGAAAACAATGTACTTCAAGTCTGTATTAAGATTTCCCAGCCTCTCTCTTATGTCTGATTTCTGAATACAGTATTCATTCTAATATAGCATTTTTCAACCTTGGTACTATTGTCATTTTGGGCTGGATAATTCTTTGTTGGACGGGGAGGGGCCCATGATCTCATTAGAACTACCGGGCCACTCCAAGAGTAGAAGGATCAGAGATATAAAGAGGTGAAGTGACTTGCCAAGGGTCACAGAGTTGATCTTGTCTTTCTGGATTCTAAATCACAAGAAGGGCAACCAGGGGATGAGTCAGTGAATTTGGAGAAGGGATGAGCAAGGCCCTTCCAAACCTGTGGTCCCTATGAGAGGGAGGCACAGTTTGTAGTGTAAGCTCTTACTCACTGACCATCCACTAGGAATTGGAATTTTACCTCACAATACCCTTAAGAGGTAGGAACTATTATCTCCATTTTATGGGTGAAGTACAGAGAGTTTAAGTGACTTGTCCAAAGTCACCCAACCAGTTAAGTTGTAGAGCTAGTATTGGGCCCTAGTCTGCTGACTTTTCATCCCATGACATTTGCACAGCCTGCTATGGAATAAAAATAATGGTACACCTGAGGGACTGGGGTTGTTTCAGCATAATTCTCACAGTATTTCTAAGGCAAAAACACTGGAAAAGTGTTTATTCCACTTGTTTATTCCAAATATTCAAGTATTGAACTCAGCTCTTTCCCCCAGATCTCAAGAAAGCAAGCAACCTGGCTTTCTTCCACTTTTTCTTCTTGAGTAGGGAATGGACAGCTGTCCTACTCTAACAAACCACTGACAATGGCTCCATTTACTGAGCCCCTACTATGTGCCAGGCTCTGTGTTGGGTGCTTTAATAAATCTTCCTTCATTTTAGTTTGGAAAAATTCTGAAAGGTAGTTGACATTAGCAGCCTCATTATTATAGAGGAAGAAATCAAGGCTCAGAGAAGTTATAAGACTTGCCCAAATCACAGAACAGGGCCAGGATTTGAAGCCAAGTCAGTCTGACTCAAAGCCCATGTTCTTTCCACCACACCAACCTGCCTGCTGGCTTCATCAGGAAGTGAGCAGTCTCAACATGGCAGCTGTATTACCTGATCTGAGTCTAGCTTCTTCGTATCCCCCTTTAATGTCTCCATTCCATGGATTGCTAGGTATCTCTTCACTTTGTTGGCATGTTTTTTGCTCTGCAAGAACCCAGGAAAAAGATCAAAGATAGCTAAATGCCATTTCATATCTAAGGCACTCAAAAACACTAGATTTTCATCTGATTCATCCTCACAGACACTTTTGAGGAGGAGAGGGCGGGGGAAGAAACCTAGTTTATTGAGTTCCTACTCTGTATAAAGTACTTAAATGCTGTCAAATCTAATCTTCACAATAATTTATGAGAAAATTATCATCATCTCAATCTTATAGATGAGGAAACTGAGGCTGAAGATAGTGAGGTTTCTTGCCCAAGATGAGTAGCAGAAATGTGATTCAAACACAGGTCTCTTTAAAGCCAAAGCATGTACTTTCTACTGTACCAAGCTGCACGGGAACATATAAGTATAATGATCCTGATTTGGATGGAAGAAATGAGACTCAGAAAAATTAAGTCAATCTTCAAATCACAGCCAACATGCATGGAGGCAACACCTGGGTGGCTAAAAAGGAATTCACTGCACAAGCCAGGGAGAAGTGGGGGTTTGACACTGGGTCTGGAAAAATAAAGCAGTACTAAAGGTACAAGGGCATACCTGGTAGTGTGCCAGCTTCTGGGACTCAGAAATTAGCAAGGCGCAGCAAACCTTACACTGGGTGCTGGTGAAGAGACACTGGTTCTTCTGGATCATGTGTTCCACTACAGAGAGGAAAATAAAAAATCTTTGAGTTAAAAACCTGCCTCAACAGCACTGTCTTTGAACACTGCCTCAAACGCATGAACTGAGTAATAGAATGCCATACTATTAAATCGGCAAACCTCAGCCACCCCTCCCCTACTGCTTTCATGACTCATGCTATATTCTCATGCCACCTCACCTGTAACTTAATTTATACTTTTATGTATGCCAACTTTCTTTCTTTCTTTCTAAATGATTATTATTTATTTATTTATTTATTTTTGGCTGTGCCACATGGCATGTGGGATCTTAGTTCCCTGACCAGGGATGGAACCCATGCCCCCTGCAGTGGAAGCATGGTCTTAGCCACTGGACCACCAGGGAAGTCCCTATGCCAACTTTCTTTACTAAGTAAATTCTTTTAAAAAGGAATCTTTAAATTATAAACTTAATACCAATAAAAATAAATACAATAAAAATGAAACAATTCTAGCCAGATACTGGTGTGAGAGGCTTGCAGTTCTCTCTAAAAAGAACATTAAGAGAGTGGCAAACGCAGTCTCTGCTGTTGTTGCTGCCCCAGTCTCTTCCCCCGGCCTCTTGTTGCCACTGAATTGCCAAGATGTCACTTTCTAACAAGCTGACTCTGGACAAGCTGGACATGAAGGGGTAGCGGGTCATCATGAGAGTGTACTTCAATGTTCCTAGGAAGAACAACGAGATAACAAACAACCAGAGGATCAAGGCTGCCGTTCCAAGCATCAAATTCTGCTTGGACATTGGAGCCAAGTCAGTTGTTCTTATGAGCCATCTGGGCTGGACTGATGGTGTCCCCATATCTGACAAGTACTCCCTGCAGCCAGTTGCTGTAGAACTCAAATCTCTGCTGGGCAAGGATGTTTTGTTCTTGAAGGATAGAAAGCTTGTGCTGACCTAGCTGCTGGGTCTGTCATCCTGCTGGAGAACCTTCGCTTTCATGTGGAGGAAGACGGGAAGGGAAAAGATGCTTCTGGGAACAAGGTTAAAGCTGAGTCAGCCAAAACAGAAGCCTTTCGAGCTTCGCTTTCCAAGCTAGGGGATGTGTATGTCAATGATGCTTTCGGCACTGCTCACCGAGCCCACAGCTCCATGGTGGGAGTAAATCTGCCAAAGAAGGCTAGAGGTTTTTTGATGAAGGAGCTGAACTACTTGGCAAGGCCTTGGAGAGCCCAGAGCAACCCTTCCTGGCCATCCTGGGTGGAGCTAAAGTTACGGACAAGATCCAGCTGATCAATAATATGCTGGACAAAGTCAGTGAGATGATTATTGGTGGTGGAATGGCCTTTACCTTCTTAAGGTGCTCAGCAACATGGAGATTGGCACTTCTCTGTTTGGGATCCAAGATTGTCAAAGACCTGATGTCCAAAGCTGAGAAGAATGGCGTGAAGATTACCTTGCCTGTTGACTTCGTCACTGCTGATAAGTTTGATGAGAATGCCAAGACTGGCCAAGCCACTGTGGCCTCTGGCATACCAGCTGGCTGGATGCGCTTGGACTGTGGTCCTGAGAGCAGCAAGGAGTATGCTGAGGCTGATGCTTGGGCTAAGCAGATCGTGTGGAATGGACCTGTGGCCTTATTTGAATGGGAAGCTTTTGCCCGAGGAACCAAAGCCCTCATGGATGAGGTGGTAAAAGCCACTTCCAGGGGCTGCATCACCATCATAGGTGGTGGAGACACTGCTACTTGCTGTGCCAAATGGAACACGGAGGATAAAGGCAGATATGTGAGCACTGGGGGTGGTGCCAGTTTAGAGCTCCTGGAAGGTAAAGTGCTTCCTGGGGTGGATGCTCTCAGAAATGTTTAGTACTTTCTTGCCTTTTGGTTCCTGTGCATAGCCCCTAAGTCAACTTAGCACTTTCTGCATCTCCACTTGGCATTAGCTAATATCTTCCCCCATGCCAAGATTTGGCTAGTGGCCAAGAGATGTAGCGCCAGGAACCCTTAAACAGTTGTATGGCATCTCAGCTCACATTTACTGCACCCTGGATTTGCCTACATTCTTCAAGATCCTATTTGAATTTCTTAGAGACTAAACCATTGTGCATTCTAGAGTGCATATATTTATATTATGCCTGTCAAAAGAAAGTGAGCTGTATTAGCTTAGTTCTCTTTATGAAGTAGCTTATTCTGATTAGCTTTGTCATTGTTTCACCACTCAGCATGGAAACAAAATGAAATTCCAGTTGTTGGTAGGGAGCGAGAAGAAGTTGGTGATCTATTAAATATATAATAAAAATATCCATTGAAACTAGAAAAAAAAAAAAAAAGAGAGCGAGAGTGACAATTGTGAGGAGAGGTGTTAAGACATTGTAGCACCCAACTGAGACAACTTCCCAGACAGAATCAAAGAACTGAAAGACTTGAAAAGAGAATAATTTTCTCACTGTTCTTTTCTTTTTAAAAAAATTAATTAATTTATTTTTGGCTGTGTTGGGTCTTCGTTGTGTGTGGGCTTTCTCTAGTTGCAGGGGCAGGGGCTACTCTTCGTTGCAGTGCACAGGCTTCTCATTGCGGTGGCTTCTCTTGTTGTGGAGCATGGGCTCTAGGTGCACAGGCTTCAGTAGTTGTGGCGTGTGGACTCAGAAGTTGTGGCTCATGGGCTCTAGAACACAGGCTCAGTAGTTGGGGTGCACGGGCTTAGTTGTTCCGCAGCATGTGGGATCTTCCCGGACCAGAGCTCGAACACGTGTCCCGTGCACTGGCAGGCGGATTCTCAACCACTGCACCACCAGGGAATTCCGTTAGGTAATTTTAGATATTTCAAAATCAGATCAAGAACAGTGAGGGCTTCCCTGGTTGCGCAGTGGTTGAGAATCTGCCTGCTAATGCAGGGGACACGGGTTCGAGCCCTGGTCTGGGAGGATCCCCCATGCCGCGGAGCAACTAGCCCCGTGAGCCACAACTACTGAGCCTGTGCGTCTGGAGCCTGTGCTTGGCAACAAGAGAGGCCGCAATAGTGAGAGGTCTGCGCACCGCGATGAAGAGTGGTCCCGTCTCGCCTCAACTAGAGAAAGCCCTCGCAGAGAAACGAAGACCCAACACAGCCATAAAAAAAAAAAAAAAAAAAAAAAAAAAAAGAACAGTGAGAAGGGACTTCCCTGGTGGCACAGTGGTTAAGAATCCGCCTGCCAGTGCATGGGACACAGGTTTGAGCCCTGGTCCGGGAAGATCCCACATGCTGTGGAGCAACTAAGCCCGTGCATCCCAACTACTGAGCCCACGAGCCACAACTACTGAAGCCTGCATGCCTAGAGCCTGTGTTGTGCAACAAGAGAAGTCACCGCAATGAGAAGCCCGTGCACTGTAATGAAGAGTAGCCACCACTCGCTGCAACTAGAGAAAGCCTGCTCACAGCAACAAAGACCCAATGCAGCCAAAAAAAAAATTACCTAATGTGTCACACAAGTTCCACACCATAGGAAACTATAGTATTAACCTGTGCTTAATTCTTGGGCCTGGAAAACAAAGCTTTACTTTTTGAGGGGGAGTAAAATCTCACTCAAGGCATGAGTTCTATCATGACATCGACAATCTGAGGCAGGGGTAAAATCTAGAAAACCGTGAGGGGACGGCAAATTCATGTGTTTTATCTTCTACTCTGGACCAAAAAGTGGGCAAGATTCTCTGGAGGGAGGTTCTTGGGGGGGAACTTTTAAGGTGCCTCTCCCTACTCCACAAGATATAAAGCTTATTTATTTATGCCAGCCCTTTTGGGAAGAAGGGCTGTTGTCTGGCTATATTTCTGACCCTGAGGGTCTTTTGTTTATTTCCCTATTTTTCTCCTACAGTGTCTGGTAAATTTTTGTGAAAGACTGTGGCTGCCTCAGCCGTGCTCAGAGAAACCAACAGAAGTGGGTCTGTGAACACATCTGGGCCAGAGCTTTTTAAAGGGAGGGTGAGAGGCTCCTCAGAATGCAAAGCCCATAAAGGGAAAATGCTACCCAGGAGCCAGGATCCAGCCATTCTCTCCTCACCTGGAGATGACGGATTTTGTTTTATTAAAGGAGACGGGGTTTCCTTTCAAGGATATTCAGAATCTGACTCCCAAAGACTAAACAGGGCAAGGACCATGTCACTTACGACTTTGTATACGCAGTATCTAATAAAATGCCTGACCCAGAATGGCAATCATTAAAAAGTCTACAAATAACAAATGCTGGAGACGGTACGGAGAAAAGGGAACCCTCCTATGCTGTTGGTGGGAATGTAAATTGGTGCAGCCACTGTGGAAAACAGTATGGAGGTTCCTCAAAAAACTAAAAATAGAGTTGCCATATGATCCAGCAATCCCACTCCTGGGCATATATCCAGCCAAAACTATAATTCTAAAAGATATATGCACCCCTATGTTCATAGCAGCACTATTCACAATAGCCATGACATGGAAAACAACCTAAATGTTCATTGATAGATGAATGGATAAAGAAGATGTGGTACATATATACAATGGAATACTACTCAGCCATAAAAAATAAAAAATAAAAAATAATGTAATTTGCAGCAACACGGATGGACCTAGAGATTATCATACTAAGTGAAGTCAGAAAGAGAAAGACAAATACCATATATCACTTATATGTGGAATCTAACATATGACACAAATGAACTTATCTACAAAACAGAAACAGACTCACAGACATAGAGAACAGACTCATCGTTGCCAAGGGGGAGGTGGGAGAGGGATGGATTGGGAGTTTGGGATTAGTAGATGCAAACTATCATATATAGAATGGATTAAACAACAAGGTCCTACTGTATAGCACAGGGAAGTATATTTAATATACTGTGATAAACCATAATGGAAAAGAATATACATGTATATGTATGTATATATATGAAACTGAATCACTTTGCTATACAGCAGAAATTAACACATTGTAAATCAACTATACTTCAATAAAATAAATTAAAAATAAAATCCCTAACCCACAGGAGGGGCTTGGTGAATACCTGCTGAATAAATGAAATACATGTCTTTGGCCTCAGAGAATACATTCACACAGTTCACAATTATGTATTCAGAATGCCTTCTACGTGCCAGCAATGGGTTTAGTGCTGGGGCCATGTTAACAAATAAGAGAGAGTAGAAAGTAAATAAATAAGCAAGATAGTGACAGAGAGTGAGAAATATTATGAAAACAAGCAAACAAAGTAAGTGGTAGAGAATGTTGGGGCAGTATAGTCAGTGAAGACCATGCTGGGGAGGCATTAGCCATGAGAAGGTCTGGGGGAAACTGTTCCAGCCTGAGACAGTGTCAAGTCTCTGAGGCAGGGATGAGTTTGGCATATGCAAGGAATGAAGAGAAGGACAGTGTGGATAGAGTATGGTGAATGAGAGGATAGTGGTAGGAAATAAAGTTGGAGAGAGCTTGAGGCCTACCAGATCATGTGGAATGAGTATAAGGCCTCATAAACCATGGTATGAACTACCGATTTTATTCTTAGTGCAATGAGAGGTGACAAGATATGGCTTATGTTTTGAAAAGATTAGTCTGTTCGTTGTGTCAGCATATTGTATGGGAACAGGAATGGAAACAGGAAGAACAGGGAAGAGGCTGTTGCAGTTTTCTAGGCAATAGATGATAGAAATGTGGACTAGGCAGGTTGTCAATGGAGATGAGAAAGTGGATGGAGTTGGAATTATGTTCTGGAAGTAGATCTGACATCCAATTTCTTTGATTGGATGTAGGGGGTGAAGTAGGAGAGCATTCAAGGATAACTCCTAGGTTTTGAATTTGAGCAACTAACAGATGAGAACTGGAAGAAGACAGCCTTGGAGGAGAAATTAAAGACGTTTCCTTTGGCTATATATTAAACATGAGTGGTCTATCACATACATGGGTAGAGATATCAAGTAGTCAGCTAGAGATTCAGGCCTAGAGCTTGAGGGAAAGGTCAGAGCTGGGGATACAAATTGAGACTCCTGGGACTGAGTCTTGGACCCTCCAAATTTAGAAGTCAGGCAGAGGAAGTGAAGTTGAATATAAAATGAGTATGAGGTGGGACTTTGGCTATAGCAGAGTGAGGAGATCCTCTTCACCCAAGGCAACTAAAACACTGGACAAAACTGACAAAAACAATCCCTTCAGTACCCTGGAAATTGATCAAAGGCACTTAACAATCTGGGAAGCACTTATGCTTGTATATCTGCTGAACTTCGGGTGAGAAGAGCGGGAATCTGGGACTGCTCTCATCCGCTCTCACACTCGGTCAGTGCAGAGGTTCTACCAGGAAGAGGTAGGATGTGAGAACCAATAGTTTCCCTGTGGAAGAGGAAATCACTTGATTTGGAGTGGTGGGCAACGCCCCTATCTAGTGATAATGTTGGTGGAAGTGATGGTCTCAGAGGTAGGTGAGGAGGAAAGGCCAAAGGCTCTACTATAGCCTTTGCTGTGTCATGTTTGTAGCTGAGACTGTGTGGCAGTGGGGACCTAAGAGGGCCCAAGTTGGCCACATACTCCTGGCCAACTCTGAGGTTGTACACATGCACAGAAGAGATGCAAAAGGCCCTGACAGAAAATAAAAGCCAGGGCTGACTTTAAAATGGCCTGAACTTTGAATGTAATTTCCTACCTACCTACAGATCCAACCGAGGCCTTTACTGGCTCCAGGTGTTTACTGAATCACTGGTTGACTACTAAGCAACATACAGACACATGGAAGTAAGAAATTATAAAAAAGAACCAAATTGGGAATATTTGCTCTTAAAGTCTTCAGCTACCATGTAAGCGATTTTCTTCCAAGCTGTGAGGAAACCTTAACTATTCCATGCATGAAATCACATGGAAAGACCCTGAGACTATGTGAAAAAAGAGATGCCCGGCCAGCCTCCAGAAGTTCTAACCCACTGCTGTTTCAGCTCTAGCCACTACCTGACTGCAACTGCATAAGAGACCTTGAGTCAGAACTGTCCAGCCAACCCTTTCTTGAATTCCTGACTCACAAAATCTGTGAGAGATTCATGAGGTTGGAGGAAGCTAAGGTCCACAGAGGGAAAAAGAACTTATATGAATTATCAGAATTCTGAGGTGGCCTGAATGTGAATCCCTGTTTCCCAGATATCCACATACAACTCTAATCCAATTACCAATTACCAGAGGGGACAGGTTTGATACAGGAAATTAGGTGCTTAGAAAATCATTGGAAAGGCTGAAGGTACTAGGTTAAGCCTTCCAGAAATGTCTCTAGGAACAATGCATAACTGTTCCAACAGGTGAGCTATAATCTCTGAGGCCTCCACTGCAGCCTTGCTGGAAGTAAGAAGCTTCCATTGTCATGGAACATGCCTCTTAACATATGAAGCTGGAGAAATGGATGCTGGAACACTGATGTAAGAAGATCTTATAGTTCCACAACCTTTCTTGACAGTAACAATAGCTGTAGAAATATGATCTTCACTGCATTTCTGCCTTCCAAATCTTACGAGAAGGTATCTGATTGGCAGGATTTATTTTGTATCCATATTGTAGACAATCAGAAGAGGTATGGGGCAGAGGCTGAGAGATCTAGAATGTGACATAGAGGGCTGATTTTCATAGGGTCATGAAGTAGGGACAGTAAGTCTAGCCATATCAACAACTAAATTAAATGTCAATAGTTTAAACAGCCCACTCAAAAGGCAGAGATTGGGCTTCCCTGGTGGCGCAGTGGTTGAGAGTCCGCCTGCCGATGCAGGGGACACGGGTTCGTGCCCCGGTCCGGGAAGATCCCACATGCTGTGGAGCGGCTAGGTCCGTGAGCCATGGCTGCTGAGCCTGTGTGTCCGGAGCCTGTGCTCCGCAACGGGAGAGGCCACAACAGTGAGAGGCCCACATACCGCCAAAAAAAAAAGGCAGAGATTATCAGAGAATAAAAAGAGCAAGATTTATACAATGGAATTCTATTTAGCAATAAAAAGGAAAGACGTATTAATACACACTACAATTTGGCTAAACCTCAAAAACATGCCGAGTGAGAGAAGCCAAATGAAAAAGACTATATATTATAGGATTCCATTTGCTGAAAGGTCCAGAAAAGGCAAATTTATAGAGACAGAAAACAGATTAGTGGCTGCCGAGGGCAGGAGGTAAGAGTGGGGATTTAATGTAAAGGAGCACAAATTGGAGTGATGGAAATATTCTAAACTGGACTAGGGCTATACAACTCTATACTTTTACTACAATTAATTGAATTTTACAGTTACAATGGGTGAATTTTATGGTATGTAAATTATAACTCAATGAGAAAACAAAAATTATAACTAAGAGAAAATAAAAAACCAAGGTGAGTAGGACTTGGTGTTATAGGTATCTACCTAGACCTCAAATAAATTATCGGACAAAGTGAGGAGAGCAGGGAAGTGAACTGGGTTCTAAATGACTGTGGGCATTCATACACACATAAACAGTTCACTTCCCAGAGCACAGCTGCTGTGTTCTCTGCTTCAATGTCCAGGGCATGCCTTCCGTATCCCCTGAGGACAAAGGTCACTTCCTCTTTGTGTACCCTCAACTCTTAGAATTCCCACTTCACTGCACCCACTACATTATACTGCAACTGTTTTGGTGTCTGCTTCCTGGATTAGACTACAAGCCCCTCCAGGGCAAGGACAGTATTATTCTCCACTCTGTAGCTCTGATGCCCAGCCAATCCTGGGAACAGAGCAGGCGTCAGTGAATGTTGGTCAAATTAATGAAAGGAAAATTGCAGGCGGTGGAGGGTGGAGGAGAGGCAACTTTGTGCCAAACAAGTTTGAAAGTATGAGGGTGAGGGGGATAGGAGCCTCTTATTAATTTAGGAGTCAAACTAGACTAGTTTTTAAATTGGAGAAGTATACACCAGGGTATAGGTATGTATACCACCCCAAATTTAAACATATCTTCCTTGGATGTGGTCAAAAATTCCATTTTATCCCAGGACAATCAGTTCACAAGCAACATATTAACTTTCCAAGATTAGTCTGCTCAGCAAGCAAACAAACCTTTAGAGAAATCTGATTTCCCTGCAGATTACCTGACAGGATTAGCACAAAAGCCCAGTTTGTGTACTTCTGGGTTAGAGTTAAGCAGCTAGCTCTGCTAAGGACTGTGAAGGGGGTCACAAAACGGGGTCAGAGCAGCTCTTTCCATCCTCCTCTTTCTATCTCCATCTTACCCAGGGCTAGGTCAAGTGCAGAACAAGCTGGGAAGCTTCAGTCCAGAAGTGCCCCCTAGACAGACTTGTATATCCTGTTCTCCACAACCTTGGGTCAAGCATGGGATACAACAAGCTGGAGCCATAGTATACCCGGCCAGGCTCTCGGGCTCCTGGCTCCCATATTAGAAAAGGGATCAAGTGGTGGAAACAGGTGACACCAAGAAACAGGGGTAAGCCAGGGCTCAGTCTCCAAGTTCCGGAGGAACACTGAGGTATGGAGAAGTGTGGGGCATGAGAGAAGGGAGGCAAGAGACACTAGGGGTGGGGGAACCTGGAGACTGGGATGGTGAAGGGGTTACAAGGCTGGCGGGGAAGGTTCTGATGGTCTCCGAAACGGCGTGGACGGCACGCCCGGAGGATTCCAGTCCTCAAGTTTAGGAAGAAGTAAGCTCTCGCGGACGAGGAAGGCGGGGTAAAGAACCACGCGGCCAGAGCGTGAGAAGGCCCTTGACCATTTGCGCGCGCTTCTTGTGGCGTACAGCCTGGATTTTCAGGGGAGCTGGCACAGCGCGCCCAGGTCTCTGTGAGGGGCACGAGTCAGGGAGTCCCGGCGCGAATCACGCAAGGGGGCGGGCCGGGCGCCAGAGGGTGTGACCATAGACCCGGGGGGCTGGTCCGCGTCCCCGCCCCGCGCTTCCGCCACTCTCCGCGAAAGGAGCAGGCGGGCGAGTATCTTCCTGCCTCTGAAGTCCCCGGACTCACCTTCCTCCCTCCCCACTGGTTGGGCCCCGGACACTGCTTCCCAGAGGCGGCGCGCCCTCTCGCGGTCGAAGCGCAGCCCGTCGGGTTCCCGGCCCTCCCGCTCCTCCGAGTTGTTGTACGGCCGAGCCGCACCGCTGTCCGCGGCCTCCGCGGTGCCCAACGCGGAATACTCCATCTTCCCCACAAACCCTAACCGGCTATAGCCGCTCATGAACCTTGGTCTCGCGAGATGTGGGTGGGAGGATGCCTTTGCCCGGCCAACAAATCTCGCGAGGTTTGAGTACTGCAGGCTGCGTTGCGGTTCTGACCCTGGCTGTGCTATTTCGTCGACGCTGTTGGGACTTCGGAGCTTGTGCAGTGGATTCGGAAGTCGGTCGCCGGTTCCACCGCGTCCCCCTCCCTCCGGGACAGGCTCGTGCAGTCCTTGGCTCAGGGTTCTCACCTTGCTCCGGTCAGCATTTGACACCTCATTTCTTTCGCATGAAGGCTCTGTTATGTGGGAATATCTTCTTCATTTCACTAGCAGGGCAACATTTGTTGCCATTTGAGTTCCAGATGCTGACCCCCAGCCTAGACCTCCCCCTAAACTCCACTCCAAAGTAACTGTCGAAAGCCAAAATTTAATCTTCCAACCCCGCACCTGCACCTTACCCAGTCTTCCGGAGCCACTATGTCTTGGCTGTGGTTATTGTAGCATCCTTACTGGTCTCTTCGCTTACCCTTAAGGTATTCCCAAAACAGTGGCCCCAGCGATCCTCTTATAACAGGCCATATCATGACACCCCGGTGCTCAGATTCTCCAAAACTTTACCATCTTACTCTTTTTTAAAAAAAATTTATTTATTGTTGGCTGAGTTGGGTCTTTGTTGCTGCACGTGGGCTTTCTCTAGTTGTGGCGATTGGGGGGCTACTCTTCGTTGCGGTGCGTGGGCTTCTCATTGAGGTGGCCTCTCGTTGCGGAGCACGGGCTCTAGGCACGTGGGTTTCAGTAGTTGTGGCTTGTGGGCTGTAGAGTGCAGGCTCAGTAGTTGTGGCGCACAGGCTTAGTTGCTCCGCGGCATGTGGGATCTTCCCGGACCAGGGCGCGGACCCGTGTACCCTGCATTGGCAGGAGGATTCTTAACCGCTGCGCCACCAGGGAAGCCCTCGGTGGCTTCTCTTGTTGTGGAGAATGGGCTCTAGGCGTGTGGGCTTCAGTAGTTGTGGCACGTGGGCTCAGTAGTTGCGGCTCGCCAGCTCTAGAGTGCCAGCTCAGTAGTTGTGGCACAAGGGTTTAGTTGCTCTATGGCATGTGGGATCGCCCTGGACCTGGGATTGAACCCATGTACCCTGCATTGGCAGGCGGATTCTTAACCACTGCGCCACCAGGGAGGTCCCCTATCTTATTCTTTGTAAAAGACAAAGTCCTTGGGTTAGCCAACAGGGCCCTATACAATCTGACTTCTCTTAACCTCCCTGACATCATCCTCTATTTTGTTAGCCTCCAATCCCTTCATTCCTGTCCTTACCCTGGCCTTCTGGAATGTATTTCTCCCATATAGCCTCATGGCTCAGTCTCGCATTTCTGTGTGCCCCTCCAAACACACTTCATATCCTCCTTTACTGCTTTATTTATTTTTTTCTCCTTAACACTTATTATCAGATATAGTATGTACTTCGCTTTTTATCTTGTTTATTGTTTGTTTCCCCACTGGAAGGCAAGCCCCAAGAAAACAGGAATTTTTGTCTGTTTTGTTCTCAGCTGAATCCCCAGCACATTGAAATAGAGCCTGAATCCTCATAGGTACATACAAAACATTTGTTGAATGAATGAAACTTTTGATATGAAGTTATTCCAACCTCATTTATTCAAACGCTTGTTGAGAGTTTTCTATGAGCTAGATGTTGTCTTAGGCATTGGAATACAGTGGTAAACAAGACAGACGGGGAATCTCTAGTAGAGTGTTTTTTATTCTAGTGAAGGAGTGTGTAATAAACAAGTCAACAGGAGGAGAAAATAAAACAAATATATATTGGGTGAATGATAGGGGAGGAACATTAGTCAGGGTGGTAAGAGAAAGCCTCTGAAGAAATGACATTTGACCTAAGACCTGACTGATGAGAAGGGGATGGCCATGCAAAGAGCTGGGGAAGAGTGTTCCAGGCAGAGGAAATAGCAGAGGCTCTGAGGCAGGACTGAGCTTGCAGTATAGGAGGAACAGGAAAAAGGACAGTATGGCTGTAGTCCAGTGAACAAGGGGGACAGTGGTATCAGAGGAGGAGGAGAAAGATTTTTCTTGTCTGAGATCACACAGCTCATCAGTGGTATTTACTCATTTAGACTACAAATACTGAGCACCAGCTCTGTGTCAGGCCTCATGCCGGGCTCTGGAGCTTCCAATGCAATAGATGACTGATGTTTGTGAGTGCTTTATAGTTTATGAAGCACCTTTAACATACATTATAACGTTTAATCCTCAGGGTGGTTCTCTTATGATAGATTCTTATTTGACGATAAAGACAGAGAGGTGAAGGTTTTTTATCAGGGTCACACAGCTAGTTAGTGACAGAGCCCAGTCACTGGTGTGCTTGAACACACCAGTCTTCAGACTGCAAATCCATGTCTTTTTGCCAATACCAGATGACCAGCCTAAAAACCGATGTCTGTATGTTACTTATTTATCTTAAAGAAGATTTCTAGTTACTCATATTTGCATAGCATGAATTGTTCAGGTAGAAATACCAAGGGATAGAGGGCATTTTTGTCAAAGTCCCAGAACTCAAGCATATGTATTTTTTAAGCACAGTGGAGCAAATCTTGAGAATGGGATACTTAAGATGCTATACATTATTGGAAATAATAATAAATAATCCCCAGTTCCCCACTCCCAATCCAATTAGATGCTCAAAATAACTTCCATTTATTCTCCAATGAATGCTGTCAGGATTTGTCCCCTATGTCACTGACGCAGAGTCCTGAGCTACAGCACCGAGTGTCTGAACAGCCCGTGTCACTATTTTTCTGCTTTGTGTAAATGCTTCTAATATTGGTCCAGGCCTGGACTCCTTATTGGGATCCAGCAGTGCAGGTGATGCCTTGTATTTGTGGGGCTTTTTTATTTCTTCCCTGTGGAAAATGAGAACCACTTCTCAACATGTTCTACTGTGTATTGTTGCTATGGGAGAAGAACAATCCCAGGGACAGAAATTGGCCACAGTTCAGCAAACAGTTCAGTTGAATAAACAGTGACTGTGTGTGTGTTCTTGGGCATGCACACCCACACTACAGAGCTTTTTATTATTTATTTTTAAAATTTTTTTTTTTTTTTTTTTTTTCTTTTTTTTTTTTTTTTTTTTTTGGCTGTGTTGGGTCTTCGTTGCTGTGCGCAGGCTTTTCTCTAGTTGCGATGAGCCGGGGCTGCTCTTTGTAGCGGTGCGTGCGCTTCTCTTTGTGGTGGCTTCTCTTGTTGTTCTAGGTGCGCAGGCTTCAGTAGTTGCAGCATGCGGGCTCAGTAGTTGCAGCACGTGGGCTCAGTAGTTGTGGCATGCGGGCTCAGTAGTTGTGGCTTGTGGGCTCTAGAGCACAGGCTCAGTAGTTGTGGCACACGGGTGTAGTTGCTCCTTGGCATGTGGGACCTTCGCAGACCAGGGCTTGAACCCGTGTCCCCTGCATTGGCAGGCGGATTCTTAACCATTGCACCACCAGGCAAGTCCTACAGAACTTTTTAGTAAAATATGGTTCCTACTCTCAGGGAGATTAAATTCTGGAAATGAAAGTATCTACTTATACATGATATCAGAGAGTATATGTTAGCTGCTGTAATGGAAGTGACAAGTGTTTTGATTGTGCCCAGGACTTAATTTATAGAGGTGACTGAATGATGACACAGGAGTTCAATGCCATTGAAAGTTTTATTATGTGCAGTTCCCAAGAGGCCCATGCAGGGCCATATGGGGAAGCACCAAGGTTGGTCAGGAGGCAGAAGGTGTGAGGGGAGAGCATTGTCCAGAGCCTTTATTGTGGTTTCCCCAGGAAAGAATGGGTGAGGCAAGGTAAGAGGTTGGGTTGACTAGTTTGAATAATTTCAACAGGGCTCTGGGCCATAGGAGTGGTCCCTGGTTTTCTGGTACCTGGCCCTAGCATGGTTTAGGGTAGTGAGAATATTGGTTTGGTGTATGAGAGTCCATAAAGGAGGTGGTTAGGGATACTGGTTTGGATTGGTTGGTTTGCATATGAAAGGTGTGCTGGAAGGCAGGTGGTTTTCTATCTCTAGGAATTAGCAAACCCTGAGAGGGGCAGTTCCATCCTGGTCTGCAAGGTCCCAAGATGTCAAAGCATCATAAAATAAAACAGAAAATTAAAACAAAACAAAACAAAACATGAGTAATATAACAACCAAGGCTAGTGTGCATAGGGTGGGACAAAGAAGCCACAGTTGTGGGGATCATGATGGTTTCTGGGTTACCCCATATGATGCTTTCTACTTCTCAGCTCTGCAAACACATCTCCAGCTGTTACAAGTGGCCATAGATTAGGTTTTACTAACAGGATATGAACAAGTGTTATTCGATTCGAACCTGAGATTAATCCAAAACAGCATGGGTGCTCCTGAGGGAAATTGTGGAAAACAGTTGCCTGTAGAAAACGACTTGCCTTCACTCTGCGGGGGTACATCTTTGCTACAATTCTAGTCTATTTCTCAGGCTAGGTCATTTTTATTACAGTGTCTTCAGGGCTGCATACAGGGAAGCAGTGTCTTCAGGGGATGCCAAGTTTTAATAAAGTGACTTTCCAAGGACAGATTGAGGGTATAGTGAAGTTTGCTGATCATAGATTGGGATTTCCAGAGGATTTTGAGAGGAGGAGGATTAGACTGGATTCAAGTAGAGCTTCCCAACTTTTTCCATGTCATAGCCCACTTAAAAAATGAGCATATCTGTATGGCAAGTTAGGGCAAACAGATAAGACTGCTTCTTCTCATCACTCTAGTGGCAGTCTAGGGATTTCAACCATTTTAGGCCCTGCCAAGTTGCCTTGGGGAAGGAGGGGTGGATATTCAGAGCCATATGAGGTGCAACGGATGGCTATGATTTTCTGGACCTGGATGATGTCTGAGGCAAGCAGGATGGGGATTAACCCCAATAATCTCTGAGGAAAAAAACAGGCAGTCAGTTAAAGCTGTGAGGTACTCAGCTTGACATCAACTGCTCCATTCTGCACCCATGACCT